GTCTTAAGAACGCATTTCATTGTTGCAGAAAATTTACAGCAAAAAAGACAAATAAATAAATAAATAAACACTGCTATGGGAATCTAAAGATCAGAATTCAAGTTCCATCTCTACAAGTATCACATTTAAGACATTGGGCTTTTCCAACAATTAAATTCTTCAACTCTATAGAAAAGTAAAATCCATTTACTCTAAACTTTTCTTTCTATAGGTGAAAATGCTGTGGCCCAGGAAAACGAAGGTCCTAAGCCTACTTAGCAACACAACAGGGAATAAGAGTCAACTCTTCTGATGCCCAACCTATTGAGCTTTACGTTAGAATTGTTTCTCAATGGATTCAGCTGGTTTGTATGGAGCATTTCCTGTGAACTAAGCTATAGCAGGCATTTTCACATACGTTATCTTTCTTGGGTTCCTTTTAAAAACCAAGCTGTTTTTATAGTTGTAATACTTTGCTAGAGCTACCATAATAAATATCCCAACAGAAATTTGTGCTTAAACAACAGAAGTTTCTTTCTTCACAGTTCTGGAGGTTGAACGTCCAAGATGGAGGTGTTGTCAGCAGGGTGGTTTCATCCTGAGGTCTCTCTTCTTGGCTTGCAGATGGCCTCCTTTTTGCTATGTCCTTACGTGGTCATCCTTCTTTCTACATTGTCTGCAGCCTAATCTCTTCTTACAAGGAGACCAGTCAGATTGGTTTAGGGATCACCCTAACACATACCATTTTAACTTTTTTTTTTTTAATTCAGGATATTATGGGGATACAAACATTTTGGTTACATGAAATAGATTTGCTTCAGTCAAGCCAGGGCTACAAGCATGTCCTTCCCCTATACAGTGCGCCTGTCTCTATTAGCTGTGGGTTTACCCACCCCACCTGCTTTACTCCTCCACTCCGGCTACCTGACCGGCACCCAGTGAGTATTACTACCATGTGAGCACATTAGTGTTGATCGGTTAGTACCAGTTTGATGGCGAGTACATGTAGTGCATGTTTTTCCTTCCTTGTGATACCTCACCTTGAAGGATGGGCTGAATCTCTATCCAGAATAACCTAGGAGGTGCTAGATCACCATCGTTTTTGGTAGTTGAGTAGTATTCCATGATAAACATATATCACATTTTATTAATCCACTTATGTATTGATGGGCACTTGAGTTGTTTGCACATCTTTGCAATTGTGAATTGTGCTGCCATAAACATTCAAGTGCAGATGTCTTTACTATAGAATGTCTTTTTTTCCTTTGGATAGATGTCTGGTAGTGGGATTGCTGGATCGAATGGTATTTCTATGTTTAGCTCTTTAAAGTAACTCCAAATGACTTTCCACAGGGGTTGTACTAATTTGCAGTCCCTCCAGCAGTGCAAGAGTGTTCCAATCTCTCCACATCCATGCTAGTATTTGTTGTTTGGGGATTTTTTAATAAAGGCCATTCTCACTGGAGTTAGGTGATATCTCATTGTAGTTTTGATTTGCATTGATGATTAGAGATGTTGAGCACTTTTTTGTGTTTGCTGGCTATTATTCTGTCTTTTGAAACGTTTCTGTTCATGTCCTTTGCCCATTTATTGATGGAATTGTTTGATTTTTTTTGGTTGATTTTCTCTTTTTTTTAGCTTGCTTTATTGTAAGAATAGAGTATGTAATACATACAGCATACAAAATATGTGTTAATTGACTGTTTATGTTATTGGTCAGGCTTCCAGTCAACAGTAGGCTATCAGTAGTTAAGTTTTGCGGGAGTCAAAAGTTACATGTGGATTTTTGACTGTGCAGTGGGATGGTGCCTCTAATACCCTTATCGTTCAAGGGCCAACTGTAGTATAAACCAGATTATGCCCAAGCAGGCCGTGAAGACACAGGGAAGCTACATGAGCAATTGGCTCAGATTCCTGTAGCACCTATTTCTGCTGCTTTGTCACCTCTCTCTGACCCATACCTACAGCCCTATGGTCAGTTGGCTGAGAAAGAAACAACTTGGGCCTGATTTTGAGATGATTCTGCATGGTATACTGGCAGTACCCCAAAACAGAGTGGTACTGCATTGCAACCTTGTTCATGGCTGGTCCTCCAGGGCATAATGACAATGGTCTATGATGACTATAAGAAGAAGCCACCAAAAGGATGGGAAGAGATACTTATATTAGTCTCCCTGAAGCCCATATACAACATTGTATTTTATGGATTGGAGTTTAAGACTTCAGTATCATCATGTGACCCACCCACCACCGTTCCCCTCCATGGCACCTCACTGTGGCTATAATTTATTCATTAATATTCACTGAATGCTCACCCACCTTCAAGACTTGTGTCGAGATAGTGCTTCTTTCTGAGTGTCTCTCCCTCCCAACCCACAAACCTATCACCTGATTAAAGCATTTCTGGATTTCCCACTAACTATCACTATTCATATGCATACAATTTCTTCTGTCTCTCCCCCCATCTTGTACTTTACACTTATATGTCCTCAACAAGGGCCCTGAAATTCAAATGCTTAAAGAGGTGAAGCAGTGATCTGAATGTGTGACAAAGGCCTAGTAGTTGCACATTACATACATTGGATTATTTTTACTTCTTTAAAGGAATATGCTCTCCTCCATTTTTCTTTAAACATATGGTCCTTTGGACTGTTCATTTCCCACTTCTGATATAGACATGGGTACAAAAATATTCCTCTAGTATGTTTTCAAACTTGTTGCTAAATGGCCACTGAGGCTCAAGCTAAGCACTGGGAAGAAAGAGGGACTGGTGAGGAAGGTGGCCAACTGAAGAATCACCCTGCACTCAGTTCCATGTGAGTGTGCTGGGAACTTGGAATTAATGAGGCTAGATCTGGGTTTTTTCTGTCAAAACTGGAAAGTCAGATGTTTATGTGAAATTTTACAGGTTTAGTCTCAAATTTGCTAAAGCACTGTGCCAGTCAGAGACTAAAGGAATCTATAGGCAGACGTGGGCCTCCACGCAACAATTTGCAACTTCTCCCTGTGGTCCCGTGGGCTCGTTGAGGGCAAGGAATGGGTCTTATTCACTTGTGTATAAGCACTCAAAACAATGACTGGCACATAATACCTTCTCATTAAGTATTTGTTACATTTAGTTACGTTTTAAAAAATCTAATAAAATTGGTGTTGTCTGATTCTACAGCTAGACATCCTTTAAAAAAGGATTTTTTTACTCTCCTTTTGTACTTCATCTTCTCATTTCTTTTACATACCTGCCAGAACCTAGCATATCACTTGCACACGGCAGATGCTCCAACATGTTTTGAGTTGTTGAAGGAAACACATCAAGGGTTCATTGACAGCTTAGTTTGATTTTGCTTATGAGAGGAGAAGCCAGGTATGTGCTAAGTCTTAAGGCTTAGGGAACATAAGATGGATGATTTTGATAAGGAGAATCAGGTCAAGAGAGATATTAAATACTGCCCTCAGGAGGTGTAATGGAGCATCTCAGTGATTTCCTGAAGTAAGAATGGGAATGTGTGAGAGCCCTGGGCCTTTGAGGAACTTGGTGATGTAATCAAGCCTCCTTACTTGACATCTGTGGCCAGGGGTCACAGGGAGGTTGAAGGTTCTGCTTCTGCAGTGCCAAGCAGTGCTACAGCTACCATTGCTGCATGTGACTTATGGGGAAGGCTGCTGATTTATCATGGTCCCCTTAAACATAACTTTCAATGTCCACTCTAAGCAGAACCACAACATATGAAGAAAATTTCACAAAAAAAGGCTAAAGAAAAAAGGACTTGCTTTTTGAATTTTGCAAGTTTAAAAAATTGCCCAGAGTTCTAAATGTTTGCAAAGATTAATAACTCAAGAAGAGTGAGGTTTTAAAAACAAAATTAGCAAGAAGTGCATTTACAAGGAAAATCAAATAAATAATAGTTAAATATCTATTCATGTACACTACTGCTGTATAATGTGACTTTAAAAGAGAAGGCAAGAACTATTTTATATAAATTACGAAAAAAGACTGACAATTTGCTGAGTCAATATTGAGTTGCACCCAATTTATTAAAAACAGATCAATTGCAAATATTTTCTGTTAAATTATCATGCCAGATATCAAGTGATGTTTTTGCCTTGTCTAATATATAATGAAAACAGTTTTGGCAAATTTTTGCCATATGTTAAATGATGCATTTCAAATTCATAATAATGACAATATTTTATTATACATATGCAAAGCTCATGTGAATTTTAATGGCATTTAGAATATGGAAAAGTTAGCAAGCAAAAATTTAGTTCCGAAATGTCATTTTATAGGACTTTTGCTCTTATTTCTTTGATAACCAGCCCCCCACACTGCTCAACACACATTTCTAATTTTATACTGGATAAACAAGAAAATATTAACTTGTACACAGAATTAAGTAATAGTTCTTAGCATATGAACTTAGAGATCAAAATACCTAACATCCCACAATAGTGATGGTAACTTATAAGTCAGCCTATAAATTCCATTAAAACTTATTCATTTAATAAATAAATACTTACTCGTCCTAGTATGTGCTAGACACTGTTATTCCTACAGTGGACAGACAGAAAAGTCAGCCTCCCTGGAGTTTCGTTTTAAGCCATGTGATGCTAATATCCTCATTTTGCATTTTTTGCCCGTTAGGTATGCTAAAATAATAATAATTTTGTTGTAATTATTTGTAGCTTATATATCTATAATTACAATTATAAAATAAAGTGTTTACATTTTCAAAGTACTTTCAAATACTTACGAATGGCACAAATCATTTCATTGTGCTTCACTTTATTGTGCTTTGCAGATACCGTGTTTTTTTACAAATTGAAGGTTTATGGCAACCCTGTGTTGAGCAAGTCTTCCAACAGCATGCGCTCACCTTGTGTCCCTGTGTCACATTTTGGTAATTCTAACAATATTTCAAAAGTTAGGAATTTTAGACTTTAGAGATTTTGATCTTTTTGGATTTCAACATTCATGAGTATGGCATTAGGGATTGTATCTTTTGGGATTAGGATTCAAACCCATTTGGTTCTTCTCATTCCTGGTACATGCTAAGATTGCACTTCTCTAGCCCTTTGAACTTAGGTAAGGTGACATGAATGTGTTTGGACAACGAAAGATGAACAGAAGCTTTTCCCCTTGCTACAGCAGCTGTGGATAGTGAGCTGAGACAGAACCTCCATCATCCTGAGTCCCTGAATAGTCAAGGTGAGCAGAGCACCTGACAACCCACTCTAGGTGTGCACAGCAAGCAAGAAATAAACTTGTTAAGTCAAGCTCTTGATAATTGAGATTTGTTACCTTGTTTATGTTTTATTTTGTCTCATCTTGTTTTATTTTGCTTGTCACTGCAGCATAACCTTGTCTACTCTGAGTGATAGAAATGATGGATTTATACTGATTTGTTTGTCTGATTGCGTGATTTCTTTCCCTACAGCTGTGTTCATCAGCCCAAGTATAGGCACAGAAAGCAGACAGTGAATTCTTCTAAGGCTGGGAGTTTGTCAGGTGATTGCAGGTAAAGGATTTTAGGACTTTGACAACAGAGTGATTGAAACCACAGACCATGAAATCTAAGCTTGATTGGGAGGGAGATAGAGCAAGAGAAAAACCAGTGAGTAAAGAGAAAGTAGATGGGTCTAGGAACTGGCTATTTTGATAAGGTGGATGATTATTTATGAAGTAAGCAAATAGTTAAGCTGAGAAGACAAGAAATTGTGATTGAAACATAGGGTGATTTAATTAGAGATTTCTGAAGGTTCTGAGGTTCTGACAAAGGCTCAGGTTGTGGCAAGGTACAAGCTGTGAAAATGAAAGTGAGTGACTCAGCTGGAGAGAAGATGTTTGAACAAACCGAGGTCAGAGAACCGAGAAGCTTCACGCTGAGCAGGCCAGCCACGTGCACGTTCAAGTTCCCCGGAACGGTGGCAGTAATTAGGGTAGAGAGGAGGACAGTGAACTAGTTGCCAAGGCCATCAGTTAACGAGTCAGGAAGAGCCATAGACTCTTGACTATATAGACTGTATCTGGTAGTTAGGGGCGTCACGGAGCTGGGAGTTGTCCTTTACAAGAGACTGTGGGCAGAAGTAAGTGGGACGCAGACTCACCCTCCCATCCTGAGCTTCATTCATAGCGTGTGAGAGAGAAAAAGCCACCTCTACTCAAGAAGGCTGGGACAAGTAGTTTTACAAGGTGACAAGTAAATTTCTGTGGAGGTGAAAAGACTGGGATTGAAGGAATGTTGCCTGAAGAAGTTAAGGCTGGAGGGTATGATTTGGGGCCATAGAAGAGATCTTTAAAGGGCTCAAGGAAAGAGTTTGGTGGGTGTGGGGGAAATGGGACATTGAACCAGAAAGAAGAAGGGCAAAGCATTTTAGGATGAAAGTTAAGGAGGTGAAGAGTGAACCGAAAATTGTCCTTGCACAGTGGCCAAGAAAAATAGGCATTTGAGGCAGGGAGGCTCTCGGGGGTGGAGGTTGGAGAGAGGACAGCATATTCTCAGTGTTTCTTGTGCTCAATTCTGGGCTGGCATGGAGGAATAGCAGCTGTGCTCTGCAAATGCACATTTCTTTTTTTGCAAACATGGATCTCATACAGGTTTGAAGTCTGTACCTGTCAAGGGTTACTCCCAGGAAACTGATCTTTGTTTCATTCATTCTCATGGAAAATACTCAGAAAACTGTTAAGTTTATTTTGCACTGGTTGCTAGAAGCCAGGGTCTCCAGAACAGTCAGGTAGGAGCAGACTCATCTAAATTCCTCATTTCTTAGATGAGAAAACTGAGGCCCTAACAACAGCCCAGACTGCATCTATAGTTTGTCATAGAGTTGAGTCTACAGCTCAGGTGTCATGTCCCTTGCACTCTCTCCAGTTTAAACACCTGTTTTGAGACTGGCTCTTCCAGATCATCCCTTGACTATCAATTTCTGGATGGTACCCACCTCTAGGGAAAGAAGAAAGGAGAAGGGTAAGAAAACCAGTATGAAGCAGTAAGTTTCTAAAATTGATTTTTATTTCTGAAATTACCAGTATTATCTGATAACGGCACCTGCTTCTACTTTCATTGTAAGAAAATAGCGGAATGACTTTAAAGCTGCTTGCATTTGTGGAATTCTTAGGTAGTCATCCCAATTTGTCATAGTTTGGGGAGAGTTCTACCAAAGTCAGCTTTAGGATAACACCTGGGGATGGTGGAGCAGGTGGGTACACATCCGAGATCTCAGCTGTTTCCTAAAGTCTCTTCAGAGCTAGAGAACCTTGCATAGCAGGAGAGAAGGGCTCTCAGTTGCAGACTTGGCCTGCTCCTTGGCATAGGTGGTATTTATTCAGCAAACATTTAGTGAATTCCTTCTGTGTTCCAGGCATGTGCTAGGTGCCCTTCAGGAAGTCACATTCCTATTGGGCAGACCAAATGGGTGAACAGAAACTTGCATTGCCACGTGGTAATTTCTGCATGGGGAGCACAGTCAAGGCGCTAGGGAAACCCAGAAGAGGGGCTTGGGAAACCTCAGAAGCCTCCCTCCAAGAGATAATGGAACCATAATGACACTAAAGCAACCATTGAGAATCCTTCAGAGCAAACCATTGCTTTCCTTCAGAGAAGCAGGATAGGCATACCATTGGGCAATTTATTAGTTTTTATTCTTTAGGATTTTTGATCATACATTGATATTCGTATGCACATCTGGGAACCTATAGAGCACACTAGAGGAAAATTGGCAAGGCAAGGTACTAAATCCATTCCCTGGGCCTTGTCACAATTAATAAAGTTACCCTCTTTTGTCTCCCTGCCACTCTGAAGCAGAGCAGGATTGCCTCCGAATTGTTTCCATGATGTGCCGTTTTGTTCCTTTGAGTACTCCATACTTTAGATGCCAGTTCACCTTTTCCTCTCATAAAGAAGAGTCAGGAAAAAGCACAAGAGGGATGGCTGAACAATTGAAACACCAGCATATTGAAAAGGTCATGGTACCACGGCATACTATTTTAATTTCTAACTGTTTTAGGCATTGTAAGTCCTTTTTGACACTCCATTGTACTGACAAATACTAAAAAAAGGCAGCAGGAAAGAGCGCACAGTATTTCATCCACTTGTAAAACATGATGATAAGAGTAGGAAATGGTGCCCAATCAATCTGTTCTTTATGTAGCGTTTTCATGTGGAGGCCTGTTTTGGAATCGTCTTTCTGTGAGAACAGGTAACAGTTGTGACCTGGTGGTGTTTATCACCGTGATATGGAAGAAACTAGGCATCCCTCTAAGTAAGTCAACATTTTAACCTTCTTTTTTTCATCTTCTTATATATGTTAGTTCTAATGCAGCATGTGCTTAGTGAGTGATTTACTTCCAAGGAACTTTCGACTAGCACCCTAATAATTTATATTTGCCCAGAGTTGTCACTATACAAAATGCTCATGGCAGACACTGTTGCTTAGCTTACCCACTTCCTTCTCTCCCTTGTTCTCTGCCACTATAGAGGCTGAAAAGCCAAATCCTTTTCAACCTCCCATGCATGGGGCTTGAGGGAGAGTCATGTCATCCAGTTCTGTACTATAACACGTATGTGAAAGTCTGCCGAGAGAATTCTGAGAAACAGGGAAACAGAAAAAGCCAACGCATCCTTGTCCTTTCTTCCTTCAGAGGACTTGAGAGTGACATCTAGAGATTCAGCAGCTATATTGTGACCATGAAGCAATCAGCCAACTTTCTGAGGAAGCTGGAATAGAAAGATAAAAGGGTCTTAAGTCATTGATGATGTCATGGAGCTCTATATACCTGCCTACCTACCTATGAGAAAGGGGATGGCATCTTGTTTGGCTTTAAGGCATTGGATTGATTTTCTGCCCACTTGCAGCTGAAGTGATTCCTAACTGATTAAAGTATTTTATAATAAAATTTCTTTGTCCTCATGCTGAAGCTATGTATAGTAGATTTCTTATTATTTCTATTTACCAGTTGGAGGCATTAAGGAATGAAGAGGATTCCGGTTAGAGCTACCACCTAAAAGGAAAGATGGCCAGGCTGGATCCTAAGAGATCTCAATTCTCTGTGCTTTTTACATTCCGTTGTTCAATAGAACTTGAACTTACATTGGAAAGAAGGACAAATGACCATTAGTAATCTTTTATCTATCATTGAGTGACTCCAGGCTCTCTTCTCTCCTTCAATTACTAAAGTATTAGTTGGTGCATTTGCCTCTGTTTCCTCTATTTACTTAATATTTTTCCTGCAAAGTTAGACAACTTGGCTAAATTAGGACTAGGAATATCAAATATGTCTCTGAATACGGAAACACCAATGACCTTTCTCATAACCAGAAATATGGTCAGTATTTGAATGTATCTTATTGAAGGTGGTCCAAATGAGTAGTTTATCCTTCTATAGTGGATGCTATCAATGACTCACTCCAGAGCCTTTTCTTTCCTTGCTGGCAGAGCAAGGTGTCTGTCCATCCTCCTTCCATGTGACTGAGGAGGGGGATCCATTCCCTAGTTGCATGGCTTCTGTCAAAGCCAAGCACAAGCTCCACACACTTTGCCAATGACTGGTTTCAAAGGTAGATGTGACCTAGTCCTGCCTAATTCGACATGAAAAAAGGTCTTCTAGAGGTTAACTCACTATGGATGGCAGAGTGAAAAAAATGGGAAGAACCTGGCTCTCTTCTTCTTTTTTTTTTTTTTTTTGAGACAGAGTCTCGCTTTGTTCCAGGCTAGAGTGGGTGCCGTGGCGTCAGCCAAGCTCACAGCAACCTCAAACTCCTGGGCTCAAGTAATCCTTCTGCTCAGCCTCCCGAGTAGCTGGGACTACAGTATGTGCCACCATGCCCGGCTAATTTTTTATATATATATATTTAGTTGGCCATTAATTTCTTTCTATTTTAATAGAGACGGGTCTCGCTCTTGCTCAGGCTGGTTTCGAAATCCTGACCTTGAGCAATCCGCCCGCCTCGGCCTCCCAGAGTGCTAGGATTACAGGCGTGAGCCACCGCGCCCGGCCAGAACCTGGCTTCTTGATGACAGTGTTGAGCCACTGAATCTAAGCTGAAGCATCCTTCACTTTGGACTTCTTGTTGTGCCAAATACTACATTTTTAAATTATTGTTTAAGCAAAATCGAGTTAGTTGAAGGCATCATTTCTGACTATACAGTGTCCTGGTCTCAGTGGGGATTTGGCCCAATTAGAAAGCACAGCAGGTTGGCTGTTTTCTGGGGCCACCCAGTTCCAGATGACCTGGGGAAGCTCCTTTCAGGCAAGACCTGAAGATTTCCCTGAATACTGGTTCTTCCAGGTGGACTGAACATTCATTACTGCTCCACACGATAGCCATGGCACAACCCCTGGCTGGAGAAATCCAGCAAAGACAGATTGAAAAACTGAACCTAATTAATGTGGAGTAGAATTTCTTAAAATAGAATAGTTACTGCTGTTAACTGAACTGAGTATGTTCCAGAGCATCATGCCTCATGTTGTGCACCAAAATCATAACGATTTATCTTTTCAAGAATTAATGCACTGCTTTGGTAGTTTGCTTTCTGGAAAAAAGGATAGTGTAGAATATGAGTCTGGTTGTGAGTGCAAGTGGCCAGGACTCAGATCCCACCTCTATCACTAAGCAGATATTGAGCAGATATTATGATATTGAGCAATTTATAATATGTCTTGGTGCCTCAGTTTCTCTATCTGTAAAATGGGCATAATAATAGCAATTCATGGGTAATCATAGGCATGAAAACAACATCCTCAGAGGGTTGTTGTGAGGATCTAATAATTTTTATTATGTAGTAGGTGCAGTGTAATTGTTAGCTATTATCACCATGCACAGGCTGGCTTGCAAGCATCCTCTCTTTCTTCACTATTTTTCTGGGTGACAAGTAGTCTTGCATTCATTAAGCCCTAAATTAATGCTACTTGAATTTGGGTTGTCTGTGCCAGTATCTGGAAAATTTTGACTATCATATGATTACCTTATTAATAATTATCTACTTCATGACAGGAGAAAATAATACATTGAAACTAAATTATGCTATGTTCTTTTTTATAATTAATACTTGTTGATGTTATCAGTAGTAATAATAGTTATTATTTTTAGTTATTACTACTAATAACATCACTAAAAAATGCTTTCAATCATTTCGATCAGTTTTGTAATCTAGTAAATAAATCCTGGGTTACCTTAATCTGAATTTTTAAGGTTGTGCAAGTGATAATTGATTTTTGGTAAATGACTATAGTAAATTCCTTCACTTGAGCTCATATTTCTCAGTGACTCGCTATTGTTATGGTAGCTATCATTCACCTGTACACTGTAATTTAAAATTTTCCCCTCAAAGTGTAGCCGTGACTCTGACAAATCCTTTCTCAATGGGATGTCTTTCCTCAACAGTCTAACATTTTATTTTTCTTTGCATATAATTTACTTTTCCTCTTTTGAGAAAATTGTCTCTAAATATCCTGTAAGCAAAAGATCTGGAAGGAAAATTATGGTACCTGGGTTTTCTTTCTTAGCATTTGAACTACAGAATTCTACAGCAGAATAAATACTTTTGTTCGGTTACAAACATCTTATCTGTAGAAAACAGTACTCATACTTTCAGATAAGGCCAATGGATGTTTTGGTGTTTAAGCCATAATTACATCGTAAAGATTAATCTTTAACTCTCTTGCATAAAGTTTTTTTTTTTATATAGCTGCATTTTATTTTTGACATAAATTCTTAACCATAAACAAACTTATAAGTTCTGACTTTTTTGTCCCTCATAAAAATCCTTTATTTATTCATTCAAAATTTTACTGCTGAGTCTATTATACCAGGTGCTCTACTAAGCACTAGGAACATAAAAATGAAGTGAACATAGACTCTATTTTCTATAATTTCTATAATTAATAAGAATGTTAGGAGTGTTAATATGCATAATCACCTCTTAACTATTAGAGAACAAGAGGATGGAATAGAAAAATACTACTTAAATAACATGCAAATATTTATTTAAACCACTACCTTCTACAAGAAACATCTTTTCTAAATGTTAAAAGGAAAAACAAAAATGTACTCTGTTGTATTTAAATGTTCCTAAGGAAAAAGCAGGAGCCCCTTTAAGAATGATCCCAAAAGAATTTGGGAAGATCCAGGCTGATTCTAACATTTTGCAAAAGGTAAAAATTCCCTTCATGATAAAAAGGCAAGACTTAAAAGGTGAAATAACGCTAAAATCACAGGAAAGACATATGATAACTTGTTCATGACAGAATAAACAGGGTCATAAATGTTGCAAAAATAATAGTTTGATTGTTTTTTTTTTTTTTAATTGAAGGGAGAGAGAGAAAATGGCAACATCTTTCATATGACAGAGGAAAAGGCTGAGAAGGCCTGAGAGACTCCGTAAATAACAAAAATAACAGGAGCTTATCTTGGAGAGATTTAGAGCATTAATTAAAAGTCATCATCCTGGCGGCAAGAATAACTAGCTACAAGCACAGCCTTAAGGACAGAGAAGGAGGGCAGCCCCAGGGCATCTGATTCTAGAGGAAGGAAGAGAGAATTAGTTGACAATGACGATGATAACCAGTTTATCTCATAGGGCATCTGCTATGTGACAGAATTCGTGCTGGGAGCTTACCTATCATTTCATTTACATACTCCTCTTACGGATCCTGGGAGATCAGTATTGCTCATGTTTTACTATTGAGAAAACCAGGGAGCAGGGAGGACAATGAGACTTGTACAAGATCACTGTTGGATCTTCACCTGCAGTTTGGAAACTCCTAGAGCCTCTTGCACTTGAGACATCCCTTCATTGTCTCAGAGCTTCTGCATCCTTTCTTCCTACCTGATTTATATATCTGCATCCTGTGGATACTCTTCCAGGTCTAGCCAGAGCCACTAAAGATAACTTCAGGGCATACAACAACCCTTTCTGGCTATAGGAGTTTATCTCTGCAGATAAATCTTGATTTCTGTTGAAGCAATAGTCATGCAAAATAATTGCATCTGTTGAAGACAACCAGCATCATTCAGGGGCCAATCATCCAGTCTGTGGACTGAGAGTTGATGATGAAACCTTGTCAATAATGTTACTTTGAATTCACAGAGAACTTTTCATTTGAAAGGGCTTTGTAGTTAAGAAATGAGTAATTGCCCAGATTTTTAGCAAGTTTTATATTGGAGTTGAGAAAATAAAGTTATGGATTTTTCATATCATATTTTATGTGCAATCTATTTACAATAATTCCTACTTTCCATCCTGTGCCTTTGTAACTATTCAAGTAAGGTTTAAGGTGTTACAGTCATTCTTTTCGTTGAGAGTTTAGCGACATAGTTTTACACATTTTAAGTTCCTGCAAATTAATAAAAATGATAATAACTAATGTTTGTCTAGCACTTTGCAATTTATAGTTCTCTGTCCCAGGCAGATAAGAATACTGTTTCATTTTTCAGATGCAAAATTGAAGGTGGAAGAGTTCAACCAGCTACTAAGAGTCAAGCCAGCCCTTCCGAATGCACATCATCAGATCTCCTCTGCCTCCCTCTGCCCTCGAGTCCCAGGATGAGGTGCACTTCTTACATTGCGAGTTGGCTCCTCAATTCAGGGATTGACTGAACACCTGTCTATTGACTGCCTGGCAATTAAACTGTTGGTTTAATAACTATGTGAATGAATAGAAAAGCATTTTTACTTGAATTATTTCCATTTAGCTCATTTCCATATTTCATATCACAAGCACTTTCGTGTTGTAAGTAGAGGCCGACCTGCATAGAAGGAAAATGAGCTCCAGAGAGGTTAAGTGCCCAGAGCCCTGGAAGTAATTTAGTAGCAGAACGAGAAATACTGAGCTCCAATTCTGTCTAGTCTGAGTCGACCTCTGCCTTTCTTGGTGTAAAATGCCAGTCCCCTTCCAGCCTGCTCTGTTCTTTAGTGCATACGCTCTGCTGGCCATAGAGAACCAGGAAATGTTTTCTTCCTAGTATGTTTGGCCAAATCACATTTAACAGATGAGCACGACATATATTGTATTAAATGTAAAGTTTCCCAGCAGCAAAAGAAACAGAGAGGGAGGGAGGGAGGGAGAGAGAGAGAGAGAGAGAGAGACAGAGAGAGAGACAGAGAGAGAGAGAGAGAGAGAGAGAGAGAGAGAGAGAGAGAGAGAGTGATAGTGGGGCCAAACAATGTGGCTTTATTGAGCGCTCCCGGGCAAGGTTTGGGGGTCCCAAGAGAGGGGGCCCAAGAATCACGTTCATTTGGAGGGGGTTAGGGCTTTTATACTGTTTGGGGCAGATTGGGGACTTTTGGCGGGAAGAGCTGGGGATTTTCCACTGTGACCTTTCGGGGGTTATTGAGAAATAGGAGGGGCTGGCGGTATTTGCGGAATCCAGGAACAGAAAACTTTCTTATCTGGGTGGACATCTAGGTGTTGTTGTTTTCAGCAGGGCCTGGCAGTTGTCCTTGGCAGGTCTGGTCTCGGGAGCCTTTTCTTTTTGGTCTAGGGAGGGAAGGGGGGCCCGCCACCAGCCTTACATTAAAAAGATAGTATTTGTTGTTGAACATCTCCCATTTGGATCTCAACATCTCAGTCTAACTGCATGTCATCTCAATAAGGATTGTTCATGATCAAGTGTCAGGCAGACAACCCTATTTTAAACATTACTCACACTCAGAAAAATTGACTTGGGGAAAAGAACTAGGTATAGATTTTAAACACAAATGTAAACAGTTTCACGTGATTGCATATAGATAGTGGCAACATACATTTAAGTGTAAGACTTTATTCGGCTTTGTATTTAAAAAAGGAAAAATAGGGTAATAAATATTCCTAGTTTTTCAAAAATCTCCAGCTCTAGGAGACATGAAGACTCACATGTTAATAACAATAGGAAAGAATGCATCTTTCTCATAAGAAGGTAGTAAATTCTTATTTTAATGGAATATGCAGAGATCAAGATAACTCAAATTAATTTTGTGAAAAAGAGAAGTTGCTTTGGATATATAACCAGTAGTGGGATTTCTGGATAATATGGTGGTTCTATATTTAATTTTTGAGGACCCTCTGTACTATTTCTGTAATGGCTGTACTAATCTATATTCCCACTAATAGCGTATAAGGGATCCGTTTTCTCCACATCCTTGCCAACTCTATTTTTCATATTTTTGATAATAGCTATTCTAACAGTGTGATGTGATATCTCATTAGATATCTGCACTACCATGTTCAGTGCAGCATTATTCACAATGGCCAAAATATGAAATCAACCTAAGTGTCTATTGACAGATGAATGGTTAAAGAAAAGGTGGTATATATACACAGTGGAGTACTACTCAGCCTTAAAAAAGAAGGAAATCCTCTCATTGCAACAATATGGATGAACTTGAAGGACATTATGTTCACTGAAATAAACTAGGCATAGAAAAACAAATACTGCATGAGCTCACTTATTTATGGAATCTAGAAAAGTTGAACTAAGAGGAGCAGAGAGTAGAATGGTGGTTATCTAGGATTGGAGAGTGGTGGCAGTGGTGGAAATTAGGGAGAATCTGGTCAAAGGATACAAAATTTCAGGTAGACAGGAGGGATAAGTTTAAGAAATCTATTGTACAACATGCTGACTATCGTTAAAAACAATGTATTATATCTTTGAAAATTGCTAGAAGAGTAGATTTAAATGTTCTTACCATTAAAAAAAACTGATAAGTATATGAGGCAATGCTGATGTTAGTAAACCTGATTTAGTCATTCCCTGATTATACATATTTTAGAACATCATGTTGTATACCATAAACATAAATAATTTAAAGTAATAATAAAATAATGAAAAAGAAAAGTTGGAAACTTATCCTAAAATTGCATTTGAAATAACACTTGACTTAAATAATGATGAAATATAATAAATGTCATGTTCTTTTCATGTTCTTTTTTCCTTTTATTGGTGAATTAGAATTTATAAATAGAATTAAAGTGATATAAATCTCCCATGCTCATTAATTGCTTTTGCGCCAGTCACTTTCATTTTCATCTTCCTGACATTTCTGTTACAAACAGTGTCCTGTGAAAATGGGATTTTACTTTTTTATCAAAGGAAGGCAATTTTATTTTCTACCTCGGAGAGAATCCAATGCAAAATAGAGCCAGCATAATTACATACGTACTATTATAACTTCAATATCATAATATTTTGATTTTGCTTTACATCACATACTTTCCCAGCTGGTGGGCAGCTTCTGTTTTAGCTTCGTGGATTATATTAGTAACGGGGAAGGAGCTATCATACACATTGTGAAACTAATGAGACCAACATTCTGGTGTCATTTGAGGATACAATAATACATCTGTTTGATAGTCTTCGACTTGCTTTGTTATTATAACTCCTGTACTCCAGACGCAGTGGCATTTGTAATTATTTATAGCATGCTGGCGTTTAGGCGGCAGCAGCAGAATATAAGTGCAAGATGGGCAGCCAGGAAAGAAGACAGACTTAGGAAGGGGTACGAGGGAGGCTGACACCAAGAGATGAGTCAAACCAGGTGATGCAAAGAGGAGGCCATGGAGGACGAGTTCAGGAACAGATGACATGAAACTGGGAAGGCAGCTACAGAGAGCACCTGGAGAGCCAGGTCCCCATCCCCAGGGACAAATACGCTTTAAGAGGAGAGTCAATTTCCTGCCTCAGCCCCAGGAGCATGCTTTGTCTCACGGGAGCTAATTCTTCATTCCAGCGCTTCTAAAACTTAATGTGAGTTATCATCTCACTCCAGTTAGAATGGCTGTTATCAAAAAGGCAAAAACTAACAAATGCTGGCAAGGATGCAGAGAAAAGGGAATTCTTATACACTGCTGGTGGGAATGTAAATTTGTACAGCCATTATGGAAAACAGTGTGTAGGTTTCTCAAAAAACTAGAAATAGAACTACCAGACAATCCAGCAAGTTCACTACTGGGTTATTTATCCAAGGGAAAGGAAATCAGAGTATCAAAGGGAAGCCTGCACCCCCATGTTTACTGCAGCACTATTCACAATAGCTAAGATATGGAATCAACCCAAGTGGCTGTCAACAGATGAATAGTAAAGAAAATGTGGTACATATACACCATGGAATACTATTCAGCTACAAAAAAGAATGAGTCCTGTCATTCTCAGCAACATGGATGAGTTTGGAGGACATTATGTTAAGCAAAAAAAGCCAGGCATCGAAAGATAAATACCACATGTTCTCATTACATGTGGGAGCTAAAAAAATTTTTAGCTCGTGGAAGTAGAGAATTATGGGTGCTAAAGGCTGGCAAGGGTATGTGGGAGGAGAGACTGGGAAAGGGTGGTTAACAGATCCAAAATCACAACTAGATGGGAAGAATGAGTTCTGCGTTCTGCAGCTCTTTAGGTTGAATATGGTTAACTATAATTTATGGCATATTTTCAAAAAGCTAAAAAGGAGGATTTTGAATGTTTACAACACAAGGAAGTGATAAATAGTTGAGGTGGTGGATGCGCTAATTACACTGATTTGATCATTATACATTGTACACATGTATCAAAATATCACGCTGTAGATTACGGATATGTGCAATTATTACATGTTAATTAAAAATAAAAGGGAAAAAGCTTAATGTGCATATGAATCTCTTGGAGATCTTTTAAAATGCAGTTTCTGGTTCAAGAGGTCTGAGGTGGGGCCTGTGGTTCCCCATTTGTAACAAGCTTCTAGTGACAGCGATTCTGCAGTGGAGACAGGGACCATATATGGTACATCAAAGGCTGGGCCAGCCTGAGGCAGGCAAAGCAGAGATGGACAGAGCTGGCTAGAGTGAGGGGCGTGGGGTGGGGGAGGAAGTGCAGTTCCTAACAAACTTAGAGTTTGCAAATTTAATGTATTTCACAAGACAAAGCAAACTTTGCTGGTGGCTGCTTGTTAGGGGTTGAATTGTGTCTTCCCAAAAAAGATAGGTCAAAGTCCTAACCCCCAGTACCTCAAAATGTGACTTTAATTTGGAAACAGGGCTTTACAGAGGTAATCAAGTTAAAATGAGGTCGTTAGGATGGGCTCTAATCCAGTATGACGGGTCCTTATAAAACAGGGACATTTGGACACAGAGACAGACGTGCACAGAGGGAGACGACGTAAAGCCACACACAGAGATGACATGAAGACACAGAGGGAGAGGACGGCCACAGGACTGGAGCAAGGCAGCTACAAGCCAGCGAATGCCAAGGAAATCTGGCAAACGCCAAACACTGAGGGACAGGGAAGGATTCTCCCCGGGAACCATTCAAGAGAGCACAGCCCTACTGACACCTGGTTTTGGACTTCACAAGAAATTCAGGCTGGAATTCAGCGTTTGGAGAATTATGAGGATGTTCCAGAAGAAGATGACTTAACTATATTTGAATAAATGTGGATTGTTGTACCGTACTTAAAAAAAAATAACACATCCCCTGAAAATAAGCCCTAGGGTGTCTTCTTGAGGAAAAATAAATATAAGACCCTGTCTTATTTTCGGGGAAACATGGTAGTTACAATCCAAACCTCCCATGTTAGGATCTTGCTTCCTAAGAACAGGCACACATACACTGATCAGTAAAACACTTCCCAAACCTGTAACCTGCAGAATCTTTTTTAGGGTTTTATTAACAGGTGCTACAAAGGCTTCATGGTTAACTAAGTTATACAACACTCCAAATTCACCATACACATTAACCTAATTAAAGACCTAGGAAAAACCTACCCAAAAACCAAGCCATTGAAAAAACCCATCAAAAAAATATGTTGAACTAGCAGTTCCCTAATTTTCACAATACTCTTCTTAGAAGCCTAGAGAATACCACTTTAGGAAATGCTGGATGAGAAGATAAAATTCATAGCAACTGGGAAAATGTATGCCAACAAAATAGCTACTTTAAAATGTAACTGTATTTTACTCTCAGTTTTCCAGCAGGCTATCTGGGTTATTTGTTGTTTCCTCAAGACTGAAAGATGATGCCCTCTGGGATAAACTTAAAGAGTGAATTTAAAGGTCTATCGTAAAATTG